TAACCGGAAGTTGACCATAACTTCATTAATATTGAAGATAAATATGTCGTGTTTGTACTCATTTTAAAGGATTTTTAATGAAGATTACAAATATGTCAAAATTGAGGTTGACATTTTAAAACTGAAGTTAGTTATCATATAATAGACAAATGGACAACTTCATGGTGTTCTTTCATGATGTATTCTTTATTAAAAAAAACCTTTAAAATTAGTCCAAACAAGACGCACTTATCTCAAAAAAACAAAAGAGTTAGAATAAAAAACATTAAACCCGAAGTTAGCGACAATGAAGATAGCAATTTAATTTTTAAATATTAATACCAACCTTAATTTTGTTTTTCTTTTATTATATTTTTGTTTTTGTGACAAATATTAAGACATTTTATAAAAACTAAGAATATGTCAAAATGACATTGACATCTCAAACCGGAAGTTGCTTATATCTCGACTAATATTGGAGTTAAACGTATCATGTTTGGACTCATTTTAAAGGATTTTTCACAACGATATGTCAAAATTGACGTTAACATTCTCAACCGGAAGTTGACCATAATTTCATTAATATTAGAGATAAATATGTCGTGTTTTTGTTAAAAAAGAATGTGCTTAAATTTTAATCTGTAAACTTGTAACACTTCGTCCTTAATTTCATTTTACAACTTTTTAAACTTTAATTTTGTAAATTAGTAACTAATAATCTGATTTCGACTTACAGAAACATCCTGTATAATCGCAAAACGTAACGAGTGACCAAGCGGCTTCTGTGCTTGTGATAACTGCCATCAGTGTTCTGTGATAAAAATTGACAGGTTTTATTCTGAGAAGTCTTATAGTTTTAGAGAGATGAAAACGAAAATTCTCAACATTATTCATTTGTCGCTTAATCAAGTGATGCATAACGCTGCCCAATTAGTCATTGTTATTATTATTGTTCTGATTTTTTATACTTATCTGTATTATGTAGATAAATTTATTTTAAATTGTAAGTTAATAACATAAACTGTGATTATTTTTAGTAATCAAAATAATTTCTGTACTGGTTTTAATGAAAAGTCGAAAAATTATTCAATAATGGTAGTACAAATTTCAAATATTTTTGATGATTTATTTCACTTAGAAGAGTAAAAACAAATGTCTTGCTTACCTATACGGTTTCTATCCGTTTCAAGAAAGAGCAAGATCATGACCGTCAAAACAGCGACAAAAAAAAGTACTGACAGCGTGAAATGTGTAAAAT